GAAGTACCTTATCAAACTGATGCTAAAATATTGTAAACCAAATATTCTCATGCAGCATAAACGTGTCTAACAATGGCCTAATAATAACCTCTGTAGAAAATGTTTCACAAAATGTCTTCAGGTCAGCATAATCTCTGTTGTTTTGTGGTATCATCATATCTCACAGCTGTATTCTGTTGTAAAGCTGCAAGAGGCATACTTCAAATAAACATAATGCTAGGTACATATAAAGTGTATTGATGATACTAGCCCAGTGTGCATGTACGCAAATAGTCCATGTTTAAAAGAATCAGCATTTTGCTCATTATAGGGGGAGAAAAGGTGGGGGTGTTGCACGCCGGTGTATGGCAGTGCCAACTGGCGCTACCCAGTCGAACGGTGTTCGTTTCTCTGCGCCACCTGCTCCACTGCCCTCCTGCTTTGATACCTGGCCCCAGAAGACAAACCTGTCATTATGGGAAGATCAGGCACATGATATGTTTGTGTGTGTGTGTGTGTGTGCTGATCCAAGCATATCTGCCAACTCTCCTTTGTTCTCTGTTGCCCTCTATGTTCTGCTGCTTTAAGTAAACCTCCCTGGGGCAGCGGCATTGGCTTCTCAGTTCCGCTTGGGTTGCAAATAGAAGTTGAAAAGAAAAGTGCTGTTTTGTGATAAAAGTCCAGAAGGTTACATATTGTCAGATACTGTACCTGCAGCAATGTTGTGCTTTTTTTCACAAATTATCTGTTCTCTTTCTGTTGTTTATCCCCACTGGGGTTCTTTGTAGTTTTTTCTTAATGTCAGTTTGGTCGTTATTTCTTCTTTTTTGTGTGCAACTTTTATGTACCTGGTCGTTTGCATTCCAGCTTATGTTTTTTTTTTTTTTTTTGCTTAGGGACAATGAAATGTTACATTTAGAGCATCTCAAATGACATTTGCAGACACAACATCTGCCCTTTTTCCATGTGTTTGTTTGGTATGCACAACCTCTGCACTGGAGCCCTCTTACCATCACAGAAAGAGGAGGTTCGTGTGCAGTCATTGTCTCAGAAGAGCTTGGATGAGCTATGAGTAGGTTAGAGGAATGAAGGAGGATTGTGTTAAATGTTTGCAAAGTGTTTTTCTCATGTTGTTCTCTTTTGTCCTAAACAAAGGGGATTGGAGAGTGAGATAATGTGGCTGAACTCTTATGGTGAAAGGTTATCTGCTGTTCCCTGTCAGCTGATAGCACAGGACAGGACTCTTCAAGCGTCATAACACCCAGAGGGTGCCACTAATGATGCACTTCAGTTTGCCCATGGTCATCAGAAATGAAGAGAGGCCAACACACTTGTGTACCTGCATCACAGATCATCAAATAAATGTGCAAAGACCTGACAGATGGATGGTCACACACATTCTCAGCTGGAAAGAAACAAGAGACATCAATTGGAACACACAGCATGAAGTTTCTGACCTTTTCCCTGCCGTGAGGCCTTTGGGGCACAGCTATATTCTGATGATCTTGGTCCTTGTTGACGCTGACAAGGGAGCCAGGCGCTAGTTAAGTCAGTTTAACAGAGCCACAATTTAATGCCTGACAAGGCTGGATATTCCTAGATAATATTCCAAGAACAAGCACACAAACATTTGCATCTGCAGACCCTTGAAGTCATGTAAACTGTCATACAAACACACATAACATATGGTGCACTTTTCCAAGTCCCTGCAGACAGTTTGTTCTGCTCTTTTCTGGCTGTCAGAGCTTTTCATAGTGGTTCCCTCAAACTAGCTTTCTAAGTCATGATCAGTCTAACATACCTCTGCATGAATCTGTGAAAATTATGGATTTTAGTCTTTAAGCATGACTTGTTTCTCTTCTTTGGTATGAACGGTCTGGTACAAAAGAGGAGCACTGATTGAAATCAAGACAACAACACGTTTATTTTGATTTAAGTGAAGACCTGACAGGAAGCAATGGAGAGGTCAGGCAGTGTCTTTCCTTACTAGTTTCTTGTTGTTTTCACCTCCTATCAAGATTTGTATTCATGCCGTGATTTTAATTGTCTATATAATTGGGTGTGGTTTTTAAATATTAGGTTATTATTCTTAATAATATTAAATATTCTCTTCTCTCTGTGCTTTCACCCTTTCTCTCCACTAATGTGTTGGTGTGCATATTATTTAGACTGAAATACATCATAATCTTTAATAAGCTGTTACAGTACATTGGGCACTAGAGACTGAATGGTCCACTGATTTCCATTTAGGTGGATTCGGTGTGGTTCCCATCTTATACACTTTCATTACTACTCAGCGGTCACCATTGCTTTTACAGCAGATATAGGATTTGCATTAATCATGACTCTAAGTATATTAATAAATAATTCATTGTGACTCATTCTTTAGTCATTTTGTGAAGTGGACATGACTATTTCTCTGACTCAGATGCTGTCAATCTGGCTGTTAGAAAAGTCAGTGAAGCAGACAAGATAACCATCAAACCTATGTACTGTAAATCTCTACCCACAGTCATGGAGACAATGAAGCACCATTTGACATCATTCTGCTGCCTTACATACCTTATTTGAAGATATCTTTAGCTGTGGTACATGGAGAGTTGAATAGGCACTGTGTGTCATGGGTAGAGAGTTATTCTTTAAGATATTGAGGGAAAGAAGAAGAAGAGGAGACAATAGTGAGGGAGGGGGAAAAAAGTAACCTCATCGACCCATGGGCAGACGCAGAAATCATGTGTGTCATGCTGTGAGGTAGGGAAGGATTTGATTAACAAACTAATGAAATTAGTCAGCACAGTGTGTGTGCATTGTCTGTGAGTTTGTGTCTTTTGGATTTGTCTTTGCTACACAGTCCCACTCACACATGCTCATTCTCAGAGGCAGTCAAAAGCTCCTCTCTGTTTCCTGCTGCCACTTCTAGTTTGCTGTGCCATTCTGCATCACTGGTGCAGGGAATTAGTTCTTTGTTATTGTTGTTTACCGCCTTCATTTCCCATCCCTGTATCCACATCCACCTGGCTATGGACCCAGCTACAGCAAAGCCGTCCATCTACACCTCCGCTCACTGTGTGTATATATGTATTAGGCTGAGTGTGTAGGTGGTTGGAGGGGGCGTTTTATTTTTTGTGAGCATCTTATAATTACACTTGCATTTACATCTGTCTCTCATGTGCATGTTATTTTTTATTCTTTGTGTCCTTTGCCTGCTTATCTCAGTATGTGTCTTACAGGTTTTCCTGGTGCATATGTATTTTTCTACATGAGACTGTTTCCTTTTGTCATACAGAGACTGTGTGTTTGTGTGTGCATGTGTCAGAGTCAAGGCAGTGGCAGACCTGTCTGAAGAGCAGACAGTGCCCAGAGCCCGAGGCTTCAGCTTTACAGACAGTTGAATTATGTGGCTAAGCACATGGTCACTGTGCTACTGTCAAACATGCACACACAGAGATACCCGTTACTGGGGCTTGTCACAACACAGTACTGCAGACAGAGGGGAAAAATAAAAAGGAGTTATGTCATATATACATGATCTCATTGGCCATACCAAACTGGACTGAAAAGCCATGTTTTAGTGTCATGTCTCTCTCTGTCAGTCCGTCTCTGTGTTTATCTAAGCAGCAAAGTTGGCAAAAAGACTCAAACAGGAATTTAGCCAGATCTGCAATTGTGATTTTAAAAATTGCTCATTGAGGAGCATCGTGGTGACTCAGTGGTCTAAAGATGTTGAAACAAGGCAAGACATCTTTCTGTGAGTGTGAAACAACACAGTCCTATGCGTCTCATAGCATTTTGTTAGCTCAGATAAACTGATGAAATCCTTTGTCTCTAACAAGAGGTTAACCACCAAATGTATCGCCATATTGCCATGTTTTGTCGTTGTTTAAAGCAAACTGGTCACTTCACTTTTGGACTTTAGGTTGCACACACACACACACACACACACACACACTTTGTAGGAGTGATGGAAATAACATCTTGATCAAAAAGGGAGGTAGCAGGTGTTCAAACACACACACACACACACACACACACACACTTTGTAGGAGTGATGGAAATAACATCGTTTTCAAAAAGGGAGGTAGCAGGTGTTCAAATATTTGGCCTGTTGTGTTTGAAAGGTGAAACTATCTCATGGTCATTAGATACTCGTGCATGATGCCCACACAAAGATGCACATGTACCTGTATATGAAAGAGTAATTATCTCATTACAGAGAAAATAGATCAAGAAAGATATATGGGATGATTTTACCACTTCTATGCAGAAATCCTACCTCAGGCTATGATGGAGGGTCAGAGAAATAGGTGTGACAATAAGGGTGCAAAGAGATGGCAGAAGACAAAATAGATCAGTTGACTTTTTAAAGCAGTGTTAGCTGTATGTGTTGTGGCATTGGTCTCTTTAGTGCCCTCCTTCTTTTGACTCATTAACATGATTTTAGATAAGGCAAAATAAAAAAAAATCCTGCACCACATATCATGTTGATATATATGTGCAGTAAGAAAGAAGTCAAGATTTAGCATATTTCACAACAAATGCTACAAAGTGTTTGAAAACAGTACAATGCGCTCTCATGTGAAAACATGATAAAACAACCCATAGCCCCCAGACGCAGAATTATACTTTTAATTAATTTAAAAATTTCAGCTTTCATTTAAGTCAGATGCTGGAAACATCCAAAACACACTTTCTAGCTGATCTGAGAGAATGCAGGTTTATACACACAGCAGTTCATATATGGAAACAACAGTGACTCATGTGTATGACCTTGGCTTTTCCAAGTGAAATTGATATTCAGTACCTCTTCCTCTTTTGATTTTAGTTTTATGCCAGAACCTGATTATATAATTCACAGAGGGAATTCATCCTGCTGGATACTGAGCCTCTACTGAATCCTAAAATAGCTCTACAATCACCAGAAGCTTTATCCTCAGGGATGACTAAACCCAGCTCAGCCTGAGAACTGAAACTGATATGTCAGTGACATTCTACCTTCTCTCTTGATTTCCGTCTCTCTCTAGGACTGAAAACTTATTTGATCTCTGGCAGGAAGATAGAGTCTCACTCCCACTGTAGCTGCTCGCAGTTGGGCTTGGCTGGACTGGAGCATGCAGATCCTCTGTATCCCACGCCCAGAGTGCACACTCCTGATGGAGCCTCTTCAGCCTGCATCGTGGCCCCTGATGGAGCCAATGTGAGTGCACACGATCTCTGAGAAAATTATATGAAACATCAGCCATGTGCATTGAGGAAGTAAGTATATTTCTGGGATCATTTTTCATGTCACATCTTTATTGCCTGAGGAATGCCACCGAGTTCCGTGATCTGCCATGGCCTGTCTTATGTTCATGTTTTTGCTTTCTGTGTGATTTTGTTTATATGGGTGTAACAGAAGCTTTAATGAAAAAATATATATATTTTTTACATCAATAGCTTCTTTTTGTCTTGTGTTGAGGAAGTGGAAAAGTAACCAATACAAAAACAGTCAAATCTTAAACTGTTGTTCTCCCCAGCAGGTCATGTACATCATAACTGACCCTTAGTGTTCATCAGCCCATCCATTATGTCTACTTTGCTTTCAAATTGTACCACTAGGTCACCAAAACCCTGTGACATATTATTCCCTCAAACCATGTGCTACTGGGACTTAATTTACCCCAGTTAATCTTCCCTTCTCTTGTGCAAATGTGCACCCCATGATGCATGCACAGATCTTTCAGTTGTCAGCCATGCCAGGTGTAGGGGTAGAGGTAGTACAGTAGATGGGAAGCAGGATAATCAGTGTGGCTTCTTGGTATTGGTAATGAGCTCACTCAAACAGGAAGCCCTCCTAATGTCTTTCTGCCTTGAATTAATGACTCCTCCATTTACAGCTTTTCATCTTCTGTGTGGTTCTCACACAAATACCACAAATCTGAAGAGTCACACGCTTCAAAAAGGGTTAATGACATTTGGCTGTGGAAAAGGATTTATAGGCCAGGTGTGGTAATACATGTTTACGTGTTTAATGTAGAACTTAAGTACACAGTGTGTGCTCGCTCTGTGTGTTTACATGATATAGGTTGTGTTTGTGTGTTTTGGCTTCTCAATATTTCACGGCACCTTCCATTTCAATGTCAGAGTCTGGCGTAGTGCAGCGTAACCATCACACATCTCTTTCTCATGTACACACTCGCGCTTTTCACTCTGAAGAGGATGAGTGGGATGAAAATAAATACCTTGAGCCCATATAGACCTTCCCCATTCTGCTTGTATACTCTTTCTCCTTTTCCATTTCTCAGTGAGTACTGCTGCTCCTCTTAGCTTTATCATGATTGAAATAAATACTATTAAGCCAGTAAAATTTTGAAAGGTAAATGGAATATGTCACTGCATCACTAGTTTGTTTAGGTGTCATGTTTTCTGTTTTTACTGCAGCAATACAGTTATGATCACAGTTGATGCATGTGTTTAGTCATTTCTCTTTTATTATTTTGTTGTCCCCTAGGATTCTGGTTCTTGATTGCTGCCATCTTTTCATTCTTTTATCTGCTTATATGCTTTCCTTGATCTGTATCTCTCACTTTATTAACTCTCTTTCTTCTTTTCTGCCCTCATATGGTGCATATCCCTGCTTGCCTGATGCCCCCCAAATCTCTACCCGCCTCCAGTCTCCCTGTCCGTCCTGCAGTGCTGTCCAGATATCAGGGGAAGATCAGGTTCTGGAGGAAGGTGCAGTGCACACTGGCTGCCATGATGACCCCAAAACCAGCAGCTCCAAGGTTAGCCTGTTGTTGATACCCTAATCAAACAAATGAGAACTGTCCAGAACCCCAAATCAAAAACTGAAACTAGTGATGTGTAAATCATCTGTGTCATGTATTTCATTGAAAACCATACAGCAGCACATTATTTGATGTGATACCTAATCAATTTTATTCTTTGTTCAAAGTAAACACTCACTTCTATTCTGATGCTGCAACACCTTTCAAAAAAAAGTTGGGACAGTTGCATTTCAGGGGCAGTAATGAAATAAACTTATGAAATAATGAATAAAAACTATGAAACAATGATTCCATTTGAAACAGGTGATGTCAACAGGTGACTGCAATCATGGTTTGGTAAAAAAAAAGTGGCATCCAGGAAAGGCCTAGCCTTTTAGGAGCAAAGATGGAATTGTGAATTGCTGAAGTGAAGTGAGTGTTTATTTTGATCAAAGAATAAAATTGATGAGGTATCACATCAAATAATGTGCTGCTGTATTGTTTTCAATGTAATACAGGACATGGATGATTTATAAATTCACATCTTTTGGACTTCTCTCTCCTCTCTTTTCCCACTAGGACTCTTCAGATCTCAAGTGTTCCCCAGTGGTTTCTGCAGGGCGCAGCCCTAAGGCTCTGAACGGCCTGCTCAGTCCTCGGCTAGAAGCACTGAACAACAGCCATACGTCTCTGTGTGAGATGCTGCAAGAGAAGGAGAAGAAGACGTGGAGTGGGGGAGCAATGGGAATGGATCACTCAGCGCTTATCCCTTTGCGATCTAAGAACTTCAGGGAAAGGAGTGATGCCCACTTTGTGGATGTTATCAAAGAGGATGGGTGAGAGTGGCTTAATAAATGCCTTAAACATCTCTCTCAGAAGATTTATTTATAATGTACAATTGATCAGTAGATCAATCTCACTTGTTAATGTGAAATTGTTATCTGATTTTAAGATAGTTTAATGTAATATTTAAAACCCTACTTGTAAATTATTTCACCTGCCTTTCCCTTATGCCTTTTACAGCCTTATGAGGGACTATTTCTACAAACCTCCCATAAACAGACTGAGTGTCACCTTCCCGGAGAAGAGCCTGGAGGCCGCTTACCGGATAAGCTACCAGGAGGAGGTGTGTGTGTGCGCATATAAGCTGTGTTTGTGTGTGACATTATGGTGCTTGTATGCATGCAGACTGTTTATTTGGGAACCTTTGACGGACTGCTGTTTCCTGCGGTAAACCGTACTCATTTCCTGTTTTCTGCATTTGCACTGCGTTGTGCTTGCTTCCAGATTGTTTAGGAATTAAACTCACTATTTTCTGGGTTCATCTGAATTTTTGAGTGACAACATACGCTTGCACCACTTAAAGCACTTGTTTTGCAGAAGTTCTTGCTAGCTACCAAATTTAACTTGCTACTTTAGGTCAGCTAGTTTAGAAGCTAGCTAAGCTAGTAGCTTAATCGAGAGCAATGGCTTCCCCCTCTTCCTCTCCTCCTTTCTCTTGCTCGGAGTGTCGCATGTTCAGTTATTCCTCTGCCTCCTTTAGCGATAATGGTACTTGTAATAAATGTCAGATGCTAGCAGCATTGGAGGCGAGGCTCACAGACTTAGAAGCGCGCTAGCTATGCCCATGTAGCCGGTGTGGAGCCTCCTAGACGTAGCTTAGCCCAAGATAGCCGCCCCCCACAGCTTCCCGAGCAGCCGGGATCTCAAGACAGGTGGCTGGGTGACGGTTCGCAAGAGTCGTAGCTCCAAACAAATGTCCACGGAGCATCACCTGCCTGATCACGTTTCAAATCGATTTTCCCCACTCAGCGACACAACCGCTGAGAAAACGACTCTAGTAATCAGAGACTCCATAGTCAGAAACGTGAAGCTGGAGACACCGGCGGCCATAGTCAAATGTTTTCCTGGGGCCCGAGCGGGCGACATTGAATCCTATTTGAAGCTGCTGACTAAGGATAAGCGTAAATACAGTAAGGTTGTTATTCACGT